TAAAACTTTTCTTAAAAGATTAGACTCTTGTCAATCCTTGTAGTGATACAAACAACTATACTTCTACAATATATAGTAAAGAGAGATATTTTCCACTTGGGTGTTGAGTGAGGCATTGTTGATTTTAAAATCCAAGCCATATCCTCCACTTTGAGATGATGCAAATTCTCTTTTCTCATGATTGTGGGTAGTAAGTATGTTTTCCACACGGACAACGAAGATGATGTCTTATCTCATAAAATTAACCAACACACTTGTGTTTCAAATTTTTAAAAGAGGAACTACGTGTACCCTGATCCCCTATTGCACGAAAGGTGGTACCTAGGCACTAAAGGTTCGCAACCGCGACGGGTGCAAAAATTATAAAAATATTTCTTTTCTCACCTCCACCATCCATTTTATATACAACACATTTTTATAACCAAAATATACAGATTTTTCAAAGAGGTTCCTGCGGAGTACCGTAGATGTTTAGGGTGCTAATACCTTCCATTTGTATAACCAACCCCCTTACCTTGAATCTTTCCCCCTTTTTTTGGGTTATTCGCTCTTTTCTCATTCCTTTGGAAACAATAAAGCGTGGTGGCGATTTTTATTTTGATTTGTATAAATTCTAGTCAATCCAATGGCTTAGTCTTGAAAATTTCTACTGCTACAAATACTATAGATACATAGGGTGCTAGTACCTTACCTTTGTATAACCAACCCCTGTATCTTAGATCTCTTTAATTCATCGTTCTTGCTTTACTTTTAGTTTAGCTTTGCATATTTATTTTGGGTTTTTATTTGCTCTTTTCCCATTCCATTGGAAATAATAAAGCGCGGTGGAGACTTTCACTATAATGAGTCAAGTCAATCAATAGTTTGATCTCAAATTTTACACAGCTACAGGATAAACCTTCCACATCTACACAGATTAGAAAAGCTTTAGAAATCTGTTATTACAAAAGATCCAAATCCCATAAAACAAAAATGGACAGTTAAACTTCAAGGTTTCAACTTTGAAATTTTCTACAAACCTGTTCGGTCAAACTTAGTTGCTGATGCTCTTAGTAGAAAATATTGTACTGAAGAACTCCTTTTATTATCCATGTCTTCCCCAATACCAGATCTTTTGTCTCAAATTCACAAAGGGAATTATTTATTTCAAAGAAAAACTCATTATACCTGATTGTAACAAATTGTGCCTCAATCTCATCAGTGAGTTCCATAATACCCCAACTGGTGGTCATTCCGAAATTAAACCCACAATAGCCAGACTTGGGGCTTCTTTTGCTTGGTTAGACCTTTACATGGATGTTAAACAATACATCAAACATTGTTCAATTTGTCAACACAATAAATATCGACCACGGAAAACAAAGGGATTGTTACAACCATTACCAACACCAATCTAGGTCTGGGAAGAACTCACCATGGACTTTGTCACAAAGTTACCTAACTCTTTTGGTCATGTTGTGATTTGGGTTTTCTGTGACCGCCTTACTAAGTACTTCTATTCCACTGTCCTCCCCCCCAAGTTCACGATAAAGGTTTTGGCCGTAAGATTTTATGTAGAAATATGTCGTCTCCATGGTATTCCTAAGTCCATTATTTCTGATAGAGATCCATTATTTTTTAGCACAATTTGGAAATAATTGTTCAAACACCAAGGCACAACACTCAAATATAGTATGACATATAATCCGCAAACTGATGGACAAATAGAGATTCTAAATTGAAGTTTAGAGGCTTATCTGCGGTGTTTCGCGAGTGACCACCCTCGGCAGTGGTTTAAGTTCCTTTATTTGGCTGAGTATTGGCACAATACATCTTTCCACTCTACCATCAAAATGAATCATTTCACAGCTTTATATGGTCGTAGTCCATCGTCTATCCCTGACTATCTTTCCAGCACCACTGTTGTAGAATCTTTGGATACTCTTCTGCAACAAAGACAACATATCTTAAATCAAATTAAGATTAACCTACAAAAAACATAGCAAAAATGGAGTTTCAAGCTAACAAAAAGCGAGTTGATTTTACCTTTGCAATTGGAGACTTGGTTTTGCTTTGTTTACAACCGTACATGCAACATATGGTGGTAAAACAAACGTCTCGATATTAGCCAAGCGTTATTTGGTCCCTTTTCAGTGATTCGACGAGTTGGTAATATTGCGTATGAACTTTACCTCAGTTCGTCCTCCAAAATACACCATGTGGTTCACGTTTCTTTGTTGAGGCCTTATTTTGGTGAAAAAGAAAATAAGGATTTAACTTCCCTTCCATTACAAATCTATAAAATATTTGCTGATGAATGAGAGTATATTTCAGAGACTTAGTGAAGGTGGAGAAGATGATAGAAATAAGGGTACAAGTAAAAAAAAAAGAACTTTGAAACTCTAGACTTTGTGGAGAATTTATGAGAGTAAAGTGTAGGGAAGTACAAGTGTTAAGGGTAAACACTTACCAACAAATGAGTTTCAATATGAGTTTGAAGGAATTAAAACCCAACCCTCGTGCCAAAATGACCATATTACCACTCATGTCCGCACCATTTCAGCTGCACCGTTGAACATCCTTTTGGCCTCCACAGATGTTGCCATGTAGCCTAGCCTACCTCATGTGGGCCCTGTATTAAAAGATTTTTCTATTCACCCTTTTAATTCCAACGAACAAAAAGGAAAAACAATTCAGCCACATGATACAAATTGCTTGACAGCTTGCAAACACCATCAAGTTGAATGGGGCATGCGCATTACCCCGAGGAACCTGCACGCGTATCAGACGTGTGGGACCCCACACCACAATTTTCCAGCAAATATTCATTAGATTCCTTTATCTCTTCATCTCATTCCAAGAACTGTACACAAACTATAACCACACATACACGCTTCCCATCACAATCTCCCACCAACATTTATTACGGCTTTAAAATTTCCCTTTCCCTAAGCCTCGACACGCGCCCCAATCCCACTATCCCATATTTTCCAACTTCCCAAATACCTTTTTTTATCCAACCATACCCTAATAATACCTATTCCGAAAATCCCACCCAAATCCAGTCCAATCCCAAATGTTAGTTCTATTAACCTTGAGGACAAGATTCTCCAATAGGAAAAAAGTATTGTTAGGCAGTCCATTAGAGAAAGAAAAAAATCTATTTGGTTGAAGGACTTTATTTAGAAAAATAGGGGTGCAGTTGGAAATTTTTTCTATTTAGTTATTGATGTTTGTTTTATTTGAGAACGCCCTTGGCCCATTTAGTTAGTTCGACCTAGCTATTTATATTGTATTTTTCTTATTCTTTCATTCTATCAAAATGTTAAAAAAAATTGTTTATGTTTATCTTCTCTTGCAACCCTAGGTCTGATATAGTCTTAGTTTAGTCTATCATAATCTTATTTGTATTATTCTTATTCTCCAATTCTATCAAAAAGTTGAAAAGTTTATTTATGTTTATCTTCTCTTGCAACCCTAGATCTGATATAGTCTTAGTTTAGTATATCATAATCATATTTGTATGTTAGACAATGATTCTAGTTTCTATTCCCTTCATTTTAAAATGAATGTCGTTTTAGCAAATAAATTTTTTTTTAAAATAAATGTCATTATCACTTTTCAATGTAGAAATGATTGTTATTTTTTCAATCGTGTCCTTTAATTATTACACTTTACACTACTTTCAATACATTTATAAAATTAATTTAGTAAAAGTGCAATATCTTATGACAATATTATTACATTCCTTAATCTGTATGAAAAAACCTTCAACGACACTTATTTTAAAGCGGAAGAAGTAAATCTTATGATCAACTATCTTCGAGGTTCAAACACGTGGAAGAAGTAAATCTTATGATCAACTATCTTCGAGGTTCAAACACGTGTTTATAATGTATTTGATCACATCAATTCGCCTACCAATGAGTTAGCTTGTCAAACGATAGACACTACCAAAAACAACACACATAACTTGGAAATTGTCTTGATGTGGTAGGGTTGTAGTGATTGTGTACCACCCTATCATAAGATATTCTCAACTTTATACTTATGATATTCCACGACAACAAACACTCGAGAGCTATCTAACCCAAGAACCAATTCTCAACTACAAAGTTTTCAGTTGAAATTGCATGAAGACATTTTTTGATATTTTCATATTTGATAGTTTTTTTGTTTATGTAGAGCAACAACAACTTAAAAATATATGTAACTCTTTATCTTTAAAAGTATTCAACTAATAGTTAATATGTAATAGATTTAATGATTTTCATTTGTTTTCAATTGTCTAAATTTACAATCAACTTTCTCAATGCAGGAATTTTTAACTAGTTGTAGATAAAATAACACTCTCAACTGGACTATTATTTTAATGCTCCTATTAAAGGAATATAATTATGTTCTCGTGTTGCTAAATATTTCGAATGCATTCTCGACCAAACAAATAATGTTTTCCAATTTTAGTTCTTGAATGCAGTTGAAATTCACCACATCTGGCTAAATGCGTGTATGAACAAATGAAATTCGTCTAAAAAAACTGATTCCTGTTACCAAAGTGTTGTAGTTGATGAATAATCTAGGGCACTATGTGATTACACATGGCCAATAAGGATATTCAATGGTCACACTATCCTCAAGTATTTGCAACTGGTGACTTGATGCCCTCTTCGTTGCAAGTATGTTACAGGAGCAAATAAACCTCCTGTCATATATACATTATTCACAGCTCCAGTTGATGTGGATTCCTGATGTGGAAAAACCTGGAAAAAAAAGTAGAACACTGATTAAGTATTAACGTGTACAAAATCCATATAGGTGTCACCAAATTTGTAAGGAACGTGGAAACCAGTCAAAAGAATCGAACCTTATCTCCAACCTCAGCCAAAATTTATGCACAAACCATCCACTTTGAAGATGCATACGAACCAGATAATTTCATCAACATTGCCAAGTAAATCTTTGGCATTGTCATTCACTGGTATCCATGTTTTTAAGTGGAGTAATCTATAATGACTGCAGATCTATTTCATAGCTACAGATGCTGAGACAGCTGCTGCCTCAGTTATTAGGCAAATAGGTTGGCATGCCTGGAGGCAAGCACCTATGTCAAATGGAAGTAACTTAGAACCATCAAAAATAAGATTAACACCAGGAAGGATTGGTTCTTTGCTATCATTTTCTTCTGATTCAGTTTTCATTGTATCCGCTTGAGTTGCTTCTTTAACATCCGTTGTGGCAGCTACATCAGCTGGAGTTAACTCATATGATCTGCATGCACCATTCAATAGACTTGAGATAATTAGGCAATCAAAATAATGAGCCTTCTGTTTTATGTTTGTCAATATAATGCTAATAGAATTTTATGTAATGAATCTTCAAGTATATTGAGTTAATAGAAGCTCGATAACAAACCTAAGAACACTTCCGTCAAAGCTCAACACTTCAGTTTGGCACCGCTGTCGATTAGCAAGTATTAACCTCTGATGGACACTTGATGCCCCTGAAATGGGAGAAGAAGGATCTAGAAGTGGATTCAACTTTCCACTAGCATGGTTCTTAAGCTTCCCAAAAGACTTCTTTGCTAGCTGTTTCTGGTAAAGAAGCTTTCCGGTAAAACCTGTTGATTGGTACTCAGCACAAATGTCATACAACTTCTTCCTTAAGTTTTGCATTGCATCATGGTGTTCAGCAAATGAGCCAGATTGGAGCATCTCTGATGAAATTATCCTTCTACATATATTATTGCACAAGGTTGGACTAAATAGTGGCATCCCAAATTCCAAACTCAATGGAACCCATTCGTACTTCACTTCAGAAGATAACTGATCTGATTCTTTTCCAATAAATAATCTCAAAAGTCGAATATAACCAACTGTCCACAGTTCCATCTTGTCAGACAAATTCGTCAACAGAGAATTCAGCTTCGAATTTTCTTCTTCACAAAGTCCTAACTCTTCTCCTACAGAAGCAATAGTCCCATCTGCATTCTTTAACGGTAAAGGGATATCCAAAGTAGCTGCTTTTCCAGATTTATTAAGATCGTACTTACTGAGAGGCAGCACCAACACCGCGGAATGCTTAAGAAGTGAATTTAAACAATGCAAGAGTATGCTTCCCTTTATTAAATTTCCTTCAAATTTTCTTCCTAGCCCTCCCACTGTGGTACTATCCCAGGACCATATAAGGGCTTTCTCACAGCCAGCCAATGGGGCAGGAAGCAAGCGCATACACTGTCCTTTCATCAGAACAACTGACAGAGGCCCACTAGCTGCTGTTGAATACAATACCAATTTCATCCAAGGACTCATAGAAGAATATGTGGGAGGACCAAAATGAACTGGACCTGTGGCTCTAGGAAGAATTGAGGAATGGGAAAGAGGCACTATGGACACAAGTATATCGTAGTCACGAAGAAACAATCGGTTAAGAGTTGCTGGTGCAAGAGAAGCCAAGCTTTCAGACCGGAGAATGTCTACACGATATTTCTTTTTCTTTTGCATTTCTGTTCCAACATCTGACGCTTCAACTTCTACTACTTTATCATTGTTATGAAAGTTTGTGTCTGACTTATCGACTTGCTGAATGTGATTACTGTCATCTTCCAAAGTAACAGAATGGTCTCCATCATCCTTACTGCTAGAAATTTCTGAGTGAACAGAAGTCTCTACTACATTCTTCTCTGATTCAAAGTTTTCTAAATCATCAGTATTTATTACAGTGTCTCCATCACTAGAGTTTCTTGATCTGTCAGTCAAAGAGGTTTCAGGCTCTGCTATCACAGAACTTGACTTATCATTAACTAAGGTAGTTGTACCCAGTTTATTTATATCTCCCTCTTCTCTTTGGTCGGCAGGTATTCCACCTGAATGCAGACATTCTAACACACAACGCAGACTATACGAATGATTTGCAAATTCCTGTAGTTCTCCCTCAAATGTTGTACCCTCCAGGGTGCTAAGATCCTTGCAAAGATCAGCAATGCTCGCATGACCCAATTTTCCCGCTTCGTATAGTGTAACGGCATGAGTTTTCAGGCCTGACAAAGTTCAATAAAGTAGTATGATCTTGATCGGAGATGCAAACCAATCTCAATCAAAGGCAAAATATTGAACCCTGATTATTGAGTCAATTAAGCAGGTTTGACTCACTTCAAGGAAAATAGCTCTCCTACTGCCTATTTTTTCCCATTCAAAAGACTTCACTACGACAGTGCTCAAAAGAAAACAATCTCTTTACCATTTCAATTAACAGAGATTATAGATCTGCATTTTACTTTAGCAACTAGAAAGTCCAAAAAACAAGAAGTGGGGGAAAATAGAAACCTATATAGATTTATTAGGCCAACTCATGGTTATTAAAGTTGAGTTTCTACCTTGAATTTTCTTGTAAGATAGTTGCATTATATATTACAAGACATGTCCTAGCTGACAGTCCCACCATATCTCTTATCCATATCCTGAAACGGATTCACATGACTGATTTCCTATGCTATCAGTAAGCACGTTACTGAATAACTGAACAGCAGGACGGGTCTTATTAAATTGTTTTAAGAATCTTGTCAAATTGTTGATAAATATTTAAATTTATATATTGAGGATATTCTGGATTACTTATTAAAACTCTGGTAATCAATTCTACATATATCCAGATTGCTGTCCAATTGTTGTTTATGCCCCAAAACACAAAAGGTGTCCACTGCTAGAAGCACACACTTTGATGTGTAGCAAAGAAGAAAGCGGAAAATATTAGCACTTAGAAGCTTGAAAATATTATCTTGCACTAAAAACTATCAGATATAGGGTAGAATTAAATTTTAGAGCTAAAAACATCTACATGAGATGTGACTGGTAATGGTAGCTTACTCGTAGACATCAATAATAGATCACGACCAACCTTAATATGGATTACTCATAATTTTCTGTCTCAGCACAGACTGACTTAAAAAAAATAATTCTGAAAACCATACTGAATGAACATAAGCTTCAAGACAGAAGGTGCAAAAGATATAAACCTGGTGAAACAGATCCCATCATAAGATAGGATGTAATATTAGCATCAACTATTAAAGCAACGCGAGTAAAGGCAGAACGAGGACCATAGTTTCCTGAAGCTGAAACATCTCCTTGCCGAGGGGAGTCATTATCAATAAGCATATTCTCAGAACCCTGACTAGCAACAGAAGCGTCTTCGTCACTGAATGTACTTCTTCTAGGAGACATAGTTATACCGGAATTTCCAATAATAGATTTGGGATCAATCACTTTTGTAGCCCATCCCAAACGACACACAAAAGAAGCAGCAGCTAGTAACTGTGACAATTCAGCCTGTAGGGTTGTTGCCAACTCACTAACAGTTGCATTTTCATTTGAGACTACAAAAACTGCATACAACAGCCTGAAAGCAAAGATCAATAATTACTCGAACTATATGGAAATGTATACTTTAAACAAAAATGATGTAAACACAAACTGAAACAACTACTTTACTCTTCAATAGGATCTTCATAAGACTGCTCCCTATTGGAAACAAAGCCTTCAAGCCTGGAAACTGAGCCACCATAAATACAAATATTATTGAAATTACTTAAGAGACACAACTATTGAAAATGATAGTTTACATGTTATTTGTCATATCTTCTTTTCACTAATTTTCATCTTTATGTATCCACTTATGATTTTGTAACTGAATAGGACCATAGATATTTGTGACACTTCAATAACAGGTAAAAATTAATAAAAGAAAGAACAATATATTTTAAAAAAAATTCTTTGTTCAGTAATTCTACTTTTATAATATCGAGTTATGAGTCCATAAGACATCAACTAAGGAAATCATAAACTAACCAACATCGTGGAAAATAAATAAATTCCATCAACGAGAGCTGCAACATAATCGAAAGTGCGCCATAAGAAAAATATTTAATAGTTATTATTTTAAGTTTTCGCATGGGTCAACGGTGACTAGCTGGCCACTCTTATTTCTTGGAAAGAAAAAATTGAGAAGGTTCTCTTACAGAAATAACAATTGAGAAGGTTCTCTTACAGCAATAACAATGAGAAGGTTCTTAGTAGAAGAGGGACACTTTGTTTTTACTTATAAGAAAAAAGATCCAATTAAGTACATATGGACTAATATCAATTGGGCAACACTGTATAGATTCACTCCGGCAAAATCCCAGTCATTGGAGTAATCTACAGCCGATACCTGAGAGTGTTGATCTCTTAGCCGTCAGACTAACTCGAGCTGAGATTTCACGGGAGAGACAAGAGTGGCTGAACAAGATCTAGCTACATAGGAAACAAGTTCCATGTCTTTCTTTATACCCTAGAGAACCTTAAGAGGGAGCACCACAACTTCCATGTCATTTGTTAAGAGCTCTTGCGATGAGATCCAAACCCATTTAACATCATTCAATTGTTTCGGATATATTTCAATCATTTAAGGTCAACAGATTCTTGTAAATAAATGAAACTAATTTAGAAATGTTTGTTATAGTTCAGTTGTGCTGCCATAAACAGAACTGTATGGTTTCAATTTTGGGGAACCAATATGGTCAATCCAGTTGGTCAGTTGCCTCAATTTAGAGCAAAACACTACTGATTCTACCCTACTTATTTAAATTATGAAGTTTCAGACAAAAACTCAGGAATTATACTTTTTATATAGAAGTTATGAAAGTAAAACTTATTAAGCTAACATATATAGAACAAACCATAAGCAGAATAAACCTTTAAACCGGTCATCGGGATGTATAGGAACTTCGAAGTAGACCAGTCCTCGTCTGCAAAGACCCCTTACGGTATCAGGATCAAACATGACAAATGAATTTGCTTCCTCCTCACAGACTTTGTCTACTACGGCCGTTTCCTCATTTGATAGCTTCTATTAAGATGAGAAGAAATAGGCAACAAAGTAAGAGTAGACAATTGCTAGCATTTCTCCAAATGTTTTTTTTTTTCAATGCCAATGAACCATTAATTTAGTAAATCCTCCTCTATTTTATAAGGGTGAAAGACATACCCCACCTTAAATTCCTCCAAGGTAAAGTTCACAAGACAAACTCCCCACCAGGGTTCAACTGGAAAATCCACAGGTTGAGTAGGCAAATGTTCTTTTGCTATTGACTTGTTCAATTTCCACATTATTTTCTGGATATTCCCAATAGAGCATTGACAGGTGAGTTAAGAATAATATAAGTTTTCAACGTATTTTGAGCATAATGGCACATTTGAGATGAGTTGACTATAGTATGCAAAACCAAATCATTATCCAGAACAAGGGGCAGCAAAGTTGCTGAATTCATAAACTCAAACTGCAGAGCATAATGGTTGGAAAAGAAGAAAATGAAGAAATCACCTATTTTATCTCTAAGTAATGTCATTGAGAACATATAATGCAAGCATATATATCTGTCTTGCTAGGATCCTTACCATAACTGATTCCTTCTATACATCGACTTTAATGGCACGTCAGCTTATATAAAGGTTCATTGAACTTTCCTTTTTACCAATTGAATAAAGCCTTGAATGTAAGATAAACAAGGATTGCTACAGGTAAATATGCATAGCATGGCATAGATGCAATTCAAGTACTAAGTTTACTTTTATGTGTAATCTACAGCAGTATTGTCAAATATCGGTCGTGCAGATTGTGTTGGCAGATTTTTTGACAACCGCCATGACCAATTAGTGAAAGATGGCGGCGCCATGGTGTTTTATGGAAGCACCATATGGCGGATTTTTGGCTTTCCGCCATTGTCCGCCGTCGATAACATTGATCTACAGGAAAAATCTTTGCAGTACCTTAGATCTGCACTTATTCATTATATCAATAAATTCATTTCTCCCAATTCCTGTAAGTCTTAAAGCATCTGCAGCGCTAAAATTTGGGATGCTGTCATAAGGTTGTTCTGCAAGTAATCAAAACAAGCAGGAGATTGGCCAGTTTCTACTCGAACAAACATTTAGTATAACATGAAGTTAATCAATGATGAGATATAATGTCCAATAAACCATACACATATTATGATATAATAACAAGAACTGAAAGATCATATCAAACCAAAGTGACGTTTTAGTATCTTGTGCATACATTCATGTACTTTTTAGAATGACTTGTTTTCTTAATCTATTCTCCTTAAAAATGAAATGTTAATATTAATTTCTTTTCTTTTAAATTCAAATTGCCTATTTTGTATATCTTATCTATAATTTAAATAATTTTCTCTTTCAATCTAGATTTTCTATATTCCATCAAAATCAACTATACATGCCCCATGCTGATAATTCTTAACATTTCTCTTGAATATTTTTTTCTTTCATTCTATGTTTTTTAGTTTTCACTTAAATTGATGGAGGAATGCTTTCTGGTATAATTTAAATAAAAAACAAAGTGGCACGAGTGTAACACTACAGAGATGCCAAACAAGCAACTGCAATTGAAGTAGATATCTTTTCTCAAGCTTCTATTATACTAGCAAGTATTCCTCTAAAAAATGTCAATGTCAATGTTAACTTCTTTTCTATTAATAAATTTTAAATTCAAATTCCCTATTTCATGCTATATTTAACAAAAGTTAGGCACAATCTTCATACATGGAGTTAACTCAGTTGGAATTCCAACAAGCAAGTAACATAGTTACCATTTTTCATTACTTCAAAAAGCATATCACGGTAATATCTGAAAGGTGATAGTCTCATTACACGACAAACATAATCCACCAGATGATAAGGAAATATCTGCAAGTGAGACCCAGGACATTAAATTCAGATGTACAACTGAAAAAGCAAAACATGAGAGCACTGGCTAAAATATGGAAAGTACTGGTTATATCTGGAGTTCTTAAATACTAAGTACAAGAAATAACAGTTTTTTTCTCTCATAAATTAAAATCACCAGGTAATTTGATCAAATTAGTTACCAAAAGTGATCTTAGAGCTAAAGAAATCAAGATATTTTACAATTACAACATTCACAATTTTGATTTTCGAAGCATAATATAAATTAAATCTCTTCACAAAATTCTATCATATCTTTCTGATTTTGTAAGAACAAAGGCATATAAAGATCTGTAACAGTGTATTTGATATAGAAGTTCAAATTTCAGGAATCAAACAGAGTACCGGACATTCTGAAAAGCACATACAGCTAGATTCTTCCGCAAGTACCGCATCATATTTTCATAATACTCGCTTTCTTTACAAAATTTACGAGCAAAACAACTATCCCATTGAAGTCTCTTCTTTACGCAGTATTCAATTGTCCTGCATAAAATACCCGTGGCCAGCAATAGAGATGGAAGGATTAAAATTATTAATTTACCAACGAAAAAAAGATATGTAATTAAAAGAAGTGTATCACATTATGGAAACCTAATTAAAAGAAGAAAAAACACAGATGTGAGAATCAGCTCTCGAAATCAGAACTTCTGTTTATTATATTTATTTTGAAGCTAAAGGCACTACACATACAGCCATTGAAATAGATAACACGAGTGTAACAATGCAGTTATACCAAACAAGCAACTCCAATGCTCTCTCGAATTCAAGGTCATTATTATAGAGGTACTACACTCCACTACTTAGGCCTCAGCAGTTCTCAATTTACCGGTGACTCTAAATAATGTTGTTTTCGGCAGTAAAAACTAAACAGCAAAGCAACAAATTTAGCTCCTTCAACAGTCATAAGAGTACAATGTTGGATAAACTACTTAATTAATCACTTACGTATAACTTGTTCCATAATCAAAGAGATAACATGGTCAAACCATTTCCATTGAATTTTTTAATTGATTTTATACGCTATCCTGTCGAGCTCATTGAAATAGGCTAAAACAGCTTATGAACATGCCATAAGATATTTTCCTAAGCTCTCACAAACACTTACACAACTGGTTTTTGTCATGAGATCAATTCAAATAGTAAATAAGCCCTTCTAGGTTAAAAAGAGCTTATTTAAGCTTAATTAATGATTAAAATACTTATAACCACTCTCGAATTTATTAGTTGTAATTAAATTGGATAAGTATTGTCCGCTTAAGTCATCAGCTTAGAGTTGATAATTGTGCAGAGACATCATGTGCATGTGCAGGGTTACAGCATAAATAATAATGAAAAATTGGAGATTATTTTAGTTACGTTGTGATCCATTCTTCCTTGGAAGGAACCGTTTGTTGAAGTCGCCTGGGAAGATTCTCCCATTCGCATTCATCCTTAATCGCTTTTTCCAACAACAGTTCCTCCACCGTCACCGCAGCACGCTGCATTTTTCACCACTCATTAAACAACACCACAGTTTCTGCAAAAACAAAACAAAGATACGTTCGTGATTAATCAAGAAAACGATCGCCGATAGCTCAATCTCGGAATCCATAAACTGAAAACAGAAAAAAAATGAATTGAATTGAAGCGAATGGAATTAGCGTCGATCGATGGGATCCGACGTGATTAACGTCGAGATCGAAGCGACGGTGTGAGTGAGAATGTGGATGAATGGAAGAACCTGATGAGTGACGAGAGTGTGAATTCAGTTTCATGATTTGGCAATTGGAACGGAATCTGAAGAGATGCAGAGTTTGTTCTTGCGATCTCAACTCAACAAAATGCTCCTAGTTGCATGGCATTTGGGTGAATTCAGTGTAATAAAAATTTAATAAATACAATAAACACAATTTCATGCATAGAAATTAAACTCTTTTATGTAACTTAATTCATCTTCAAAATTTTACATTTGTTCAGTTTAGGATTTTATAAATATATAAATAATTCTACATCTAATAAGTATTCAAATCAAATTATGGTATTTGGGTCCGATATTTTTTTTAGCTCGGTCAAAAACCAAATCAAACTAATAAATTTCAATGTAAATTGATTTATGCAATGAATTTTCAAAAGTTTACCGCGGTTCCGTATTTCTGAATCAATCATAATTAATTTGTATAATTTATATCATAATTATCATAAAAATTAGTATAAGGGATTCAACCTCAAGAAAAAAATGAATCGTCATTTGTTTCTAATATATTCGATCAATCCAATTCAAACTAACATGCTGTTTTTCGGTTTGAGCTTTATCGTAACAATGTACAAATTCAATCCAAACTAATCCATATATTTTTTATCGGTTAAGGTATCAGGTTTTCTCGAAACTGAACCAAACATGTAACACCTGAGGCCGAAGAGAGCAAGGAGTGGTCGCCATATCGGAATAAGAGGGATCTTGAGACTGTGCAGAGAAGGGACTGCATGGTTAAAGGAAGACTTATAAGGATTGATTGATATTACATATATCAACAAGATGCATCCTCTTTTTCGACAATCTCACAGATAAGAATTCTACAGTTAAGAGGATAATACATGCTGAAAAGACTAGTGTTGGTTTGTGGGGTCAGACGGTAATCCTAAAAGCAGTCAGGGGTGTTACATAGTGGTATAAGAGCAGGTCCAACCAGATTTTTGTAATGTTGTTTGTTCCCTAGTATGCAACATGTGCGTGAAACATTGTTAGTGCTTGTTTGTTTTTCTAATTGCTTGCCAGTAGGAGTGGGATTGAAACAAGTGAGGGAGAAGCTTCTGCTTCTCTAAGATGTTGCAGATGTGGAGAGTTGGTTCAGCGTACCGCTGATTGCAAAAGTGTAAGTGTTATTTCAAGATTCTTGTCTGTTGGTCAAGTTGAGATGTCTTTAATGGAGACTGATCAGGTATATGTGATATTTGCTTCTCTGAGAGTGGACAACGATGTGACGACTAGTGTTATGCCAATAGTGTATGAATTTACTGATGTTTTTTCTGAAAATATTTGTGACTTGCCTCTAGAGTGTGAAGTTGAATTCGCCATAAACTTGGTGCCCAGTACTAGTCCCGTGTCAATGTAGTCGTATAAAATATCATGTTCAAAGTTGAGTGAGCTAAAGAAACAATTAGAAGATCTACTTGATAAGAAGTTTGTTCGTGTAGGTGTTTAAGTATTGGCTTGCATTTTTGGTAAATCCCAAGTGTATGTGTGAATGTCATGGCTGATGTCATAACATTCTAGTTCAGGTTGTACTAACTCATTAGGTACATGTGCAGAAAAATATTGTAATTCAAATACTGATGTTTATAAGTGTGTATCTGAGCATGTTTGCAAAATGATCACATTTTGCTAAATCAGTAGACAGGTTTTCTCAGATGTCATAACAGATGTTATGACATCCTGTTCTGAACTAACAGGATTGCAGGATTGGATAAGTCTGAGTTTTTTCAGGAAATAACTCAGTCCTTTCTGAACAGAATTCTGCGTTTTCTGAGGAGTAACCTAGCTCAACCCTAACCTGGTTAATAAAGTCCTGTGACCTGGTCTTTAGGTCAAACGGAATTAACCCTAGGTTTTTGGAAACCCTAACTGAAGTTGCAGCTGCTATATATTCAACAGAGCTGCTGTTTTTCAAGATATCCCTGCTGATTGATTAGAAGATCAATTTTGTAATCTGTATAGATTTGTTTATTGTACTCCAAGTAATTATCATTGTGATAAGTGCCTTGGAATAGGTTTAAATTGTAAGGGTTGTGTAGCACTCAAAGCTTTGAAGCAAGAGTGTTTGAATGTCCCTTGACTAAAGCTGTGAAGCAGAGTCAAGTTAGTTGTGTACATCACTCAAAGCTGTGAAGCACGAGTGATTGTGTTGCTTGATTAAAAAGCTGTGAAGCTTAATCAAGTGTGTGTTTTTGAAGAGTGTCTTCATCAATTCTTAAGTCAAATTGGTTTATGTATCACTGCTGTGATTGAGGGGGAGTGAGTAGGAACTCAGGTTTAAGTTGTACTTAGATTAGAATTGCATTGGGTAGGTTTTAAGTGAAGGAGATAAACTGGTTGGTTTATTCCTGAATTAACATCTCTTATAGTGGATTTTCTCCCTGGCTTGGTAGCCCCCAGAGTAGGTGTTGTTGCACACTGAACTGGGTAAACAATTGACTGTGTTCTTTACTGCTTTTGTATTTACTGTCATATAGTAAGTCAGATACGATGTCATAACATTGGACGTGACATTGAGTATCTGCAGCCAGAATTTTCAATTGGCATCAGAGCAGGCACCCTGCCTGTATTACTGGGTGAGATCTAGGGATATCACTTTCTGGCACTATGGACAAAGAAGGAGTTTTTGGAAATAGACCACCCATTCTGGATGGAACCAATTATGACTACTGGAAACCTCGTATGATTGCCTTCCTAAAATCTCTGGACAAAAAGGCTTGGAGAGCTGCTGACAAAGGATGGATTCATCCCACCATAACTGAGATAGATGGGACAATCAGTCTGAAGCCTGAGGAAGATTGGAGTAAAGAAGAAGATGAGTTGGCTCTGGGAAATTCAAAAGCTTTAAATGCCTTGTTCAATGGAATTGATAGAAACATCTTCAGACTAGTACATCAATATGAACTGGCCAAGGAAGTTTGGGACACTCTCAAAACTACTCATGAGGGCACTTCCAAAGTAAAAATGTCAAGGCTTCAGATGTTGACCACTAAGTTTGAGAATCTAAAAATGATGGAAGATGAAACCATTCATGAGTTTCACATGAACATCCTGGAGATTGCCAACACCTCAGGAGCACTGGGAGAAAAAATGTCAGAAGAAAAACTGGTGAGGAAGATTCTCAGATCCTTGCCTAAAAGATTTGCAATGAAGGTAACTGCCATAGAGGAAGCCCAGGACATTAGCAAGTTGAAAGTGGATGAGCTTATTGGGTCTCTTCAGACTTTTGAGATGGGAATCACTGATAATGCTGTCAAAAAGAACAAGAGCATAGCACTCATGTCCGACAATGATGTTGAAGTAAACATTTCAGAAGCTGTAGCCATGCTTGGAAGACAGTTCAACAAACTCATCAAAAGAATCTATCCAAAGTCAAGGTCTAATGTTCATAACATTCCCTCTAACATTGACAGTTCCAGCAGAAGACCAAGGTCAGAAGAGAAGGGAATTCAAGGCAGAGGAATTCAATGCCATGGCTGTGAAGGATATGGGCATATTCGAGCTGAATGTCCTACCTTTCTTAAGAAACAAAAAGGAATGACTGTTACTTGGTCTGACTGTGATTCAGAAAGTAATTCTGAAGAAGAAACTTCCAAACGAGTTACTGCTTTAACTGGTGTTTGTACCTCTGAAAGTGACATCAGTGATGAAGAGGTGACATTTGAAGAACTGGCTGATACTTACAAGAAATTGTGTATCAGAAGTGCTGAAGTCTGTGTGCATAATGAGAAACAATCAAAGCTCATTATAAAGCTGGAGGCTGAAAAAAGGGCAGATCTTGAAACCATAAGTCATCTAGAAGGAGAAGTTCAACTGCTGAACTCACAACTGAATCAACTGACCAAATCTGTCAAGATGTTGACCAATGGAACAGACAAATTGGAAGAGATCCTTCAGGCTGGACAAAATATGGGAAATAAATCTGGCCTAGGATTTGTGGAAACAAAGAAATCTGGTACTGGTAAGCAAATGTCAAAACGGATGTCTCAACATTACTCTCAACATCAGGGACAGAGACATATGAAGAAGAGATACCAAAGATGGAAATGTCATCATTGTGGGAGATATGGTCACATAAAGCCCTTCTGCTTCAGACTACATGGATATCCTAATCAGAACTCAGATGTCAAACCTAAGTCTAAAAAGGTACCACATGCTCCTCAATGGAAGAAAAAGGCTACTGCACTGATAGCTCACACTTCCCTGAGGGTCTCTGCAAAGGAAGATTGGTACTTTGACAGTGGATGTTCCAGACATATGACTGGAATCAAGAACCTCCTCAATAATGTTAAGCCTCACACCACCAATTTTGTGACCTTTGGAGATGGGGCTAAAGGTGAAATCAAAGGAGTTGGTGATTTGGACTGCCCTGGAGTTCCAAGTCTGAATGAAGTACTGCTGGTGAAAGGACTGACCGCTAATCTCATTAGTATCAGTCAACTGTGTGATCTAGGATTCAAGGTCAATTTCTCAAGATCTGAATGCCTTGTAATCAATGACAAACAAGAGATAGTAATGAAAGGAGTCAGATCCAAAGACAACTGTTACTTGTGGGAGGCTGAGAATACTAATCTCTCATCCGTGTGTTCCATTGCAAAAGAAGAAAAAGAGGTGAAACTGTGGCACCAAAAACTTGGCCATCTTCATCTAAGGGGTATGAAGAGGATTATCTCCTTGGAGGCAGTCAGAGGAATTCCAAGACTGCAAATTGATGAAGAAAGAGTTTGTGGTGAATGTCAGGTTGGTAAGCAG